GAACATATCTCAGTACCCGTACAAGCTTCAACCTACCCGAATCATCACTTTCAGAAATATTGAACAACAATCCTCAATCCATTACCAACATCATACAATTCATCACAGCCGCCAATCTTCTAACCAAAATTTAGTTTAATTTAGACATAGATACAATTTATGTAATTTTTTTTCTCTTTATATATATATTTCTCACTTTAAACCCAATGGCCCATGTTGCCGAGGGTATCATTAATAAATAAAAAAAAAAAAATGCAATAAAAATTGTCTCCAAAAGCCTATGCTAATGGGGTAGGAAAACAGTAGTTCATATTGTTTTTTAATATTAAATAAACTTGAGTACTTTGTTCTTAATTACAAATATAAAACAAGTGATAACAATGTAGTTCACAAGTCAAATTTAAAAATATAAATAAACTTTTAATAAGGTATTATACGTCATATTTGTAGAGATTATAAGTTATCAATAATAATTAAAACATCATATTATATTATACACACAATGCCTATATATTTATTCACTATTAAATTTATTGCACACAGTATACATTAATCAGTACACCTGCACTACTCAAACAAAATATAAAAATATGTTCATATTATTAATTTTGTTTGTTTAGCGTGAAATTGTGTAAACATCACATAATCTCTATTCCCTACACTAATTGCATTATTATCCTATTATTTGAATTATTGTAATGATTTTTTAATGTACATATTATTATATTTTTGAGCATTATAAAAATTTTTTATAAGTCAAATATTTAAAATTCAAAGGAAGGTTGGGTTAGCACGYAAACAAAATATAATAAAGCATAACAATTATTATTCGTGCAACATAAATACTTAGGTTAGGTTAGGTTGTGTATACAAAAAAGAAAATACAATTAACATGGTTTAAAAATAGCTCTTAAATTTAAAATTGCAAAATAATAAAAAAAAATGTATAAACAAATTACACTGCAAAAGACCTGTGTAATATGAAATAAATTGATTTATTCCATTTTACACAAAGGTAGTTTTTATTTATTGATAATGACTTATTAATTTTCACCCGTATATTACTATATTGAAAACTACTACCAAGACACAAATTTCATTTTCACAGTTAATTTGGACGTATCTGAGTTCCGTCCCAAGAACCTTTTTTTATACCAATTCCGTCCCTGTTAAAAAAAAAGGTATAATATACCAATTCTGTCCCAGTTAAAAAAAGGTATATAMTTATTCCGTCCTTAATAATTTTTATAATTTAGTCATAACAATTTGTATAGGTAGTTAAATGCATTAAAAAAGATACCTATAAG